TTTTTTTTTTTTTTTTCTCGAGAGAAATTCAAACTATTAATAGAAAGTTTTCATTGACATTTTTCATCGTTAAATTTTTTTATCAAAAACCTTGGTGTATTGTATTATATAAAATTACGTATAATATAACGTCGGCAAATTCAAGTCAAAAGTTTGTAATATAGCAAAAAAAAAGAAACATATTTTTTAAAAACTTCAACAGTCAAAAAATGTAAGAACTTTCTCCTCACCGTTGCAACTCGAGAATCATGTTGACTGAATGAATTAAAAAAATATGGTTGCCTGCTTTTTTCAACTGCAAACCAAAACGTGTCTGAAGGATGGGTAACGAGGCAAAAAGTCGAGGAGTAAAAGCGTTACATGATTCAAGGACGTACGCTAAGTGGGATCGTGATCCAGTCGATAAGCAGCTGTAGGTGCAACGAACGTTGTACCCTTACAGATGCAGTTGGTGTATTTGTGCACAGCGCTGATCAAAGTAGAAAAAGCGCCCGGACCAACTATCCTGATCTAGTCACGAAAAAGAAAAAGAAAAAGAAAAAAAAAACAAGAAACCAGAGACTCGAATACTCACTGGAAAATCAGTACCGTAAGCGTTCCACTTCTCTTTCATTCTCTTTCTCTTTTTGTCTCTTTTCCTCTCTCCCTCGCTCGTTCTCTCTTCCTCTTACGCCTTCTTAAAAGAAAACCGCTCCGGAATTCACGTCTCGGAATGCGAGGCGACGAGACTTGGCTTAGCACGAACACAACCTGTCCACGCTATTTCCCCCACTGTGGATCTGCTGATCCTCCTAACTCGACATGCCCATCCCCACTCTCAAAGTCTCAGCGATGCAAACATGATTGCACTCACACCAATGAATATACCATTATTTGCTACTTCGTATGACCGAATAGATGACGCGTCATTTGCCAGCGTCTCGGCTTCTTATTATTCATTTACGTATACGTATGACGCGTACGAATTTACCAGAAGCGGAAATTATTTCACTGATTACCCACAAAGCAATACTTACATGTTATGTTGCTTTTCCATGAAATTATAAAAAAATATTTTTTGTTACGTATGTACGTGCTTCGAAGATATTCTCCTTCTCTTTCCGTCTCCTTTTTCTCGAACTCTACGATACGAGATTTTTGATAAGAATTTTCGTCTTCGGCGTATCGATCGAGAATATGGTAAACAGGCGTAATATTTTGACACGAACCGATGTAAAGTTCTTACTTAAAATACGAAGGTTCTACCACCGAGCACAAATGGAATCTGTCCGCGCTATTTCCTCTATCATCTCTCCCTCCCGTTTCCCCTTCACCTCCTTTTCCACGCTCTTCTACCTGAACAAGTATGAGTGCCCGTACACCAACAAACAACGCGTGTATCTATATTTGCCGGATTCTCACCAAGGTGTGTGGATACCAATACTTTACCGGCCATTGTACGTGCAACACGGTTTCGCTTATTTATCCTACACATGTGCACTTGATATGTGTTTGTAGATACAGCACGCGTCTTATTTACCGAGCGATAAAGAGAGAAAAAGTAATCGAAAGAAAAAGAGAAACAGAGAGATAGCTCCGCGACACCGAGCTATTTTTCAAACTCGATGCACGTCTAAACGATGATCAACCTTAGCGACGAGACGAACAACTCGTAAAAGAGAAAATATTGGCATCTGATCTACCACGAACTCTTTCACAGCTGTCACCATTCTTGTGTCTTCCTCTTCCCTTCCCGAAAAATTCCAAACGAGCAAAAAGACGCCGAAACACCAACGACGTAGTTTTAATCTCTAAAAATAAAAATACACAAAGCTCGTGCCTTGTGTCAATACTTACAAACGTATCAGCGTCTCAAGTGAAAACAAGCGGCTTTTTGCCTGTCGAGAACGTACGCGATACGACGACGCGATTTCATTAGAAATTCGTCTTTACGCTACACTTCATTACTGCGGTGAATACTGCGCGATCACAAACAGAAATTCTGAAATCTTTTGCTTCCGTGAATCGTGCGACATACGTTGTACGTACGTACGCGCGAGAAACATGCCTCTCCGCCTCCTTCGTTTCGCATTGTCGGACATACAGGCCACGTTCTGTTTTCTTGTGCACAGTCGCAACACCACGGATCATTCCCTAGGAATAAGGTCGTTCACAAGATCGTGCCAAGAAACACTACCAAGAAAACGACCGTTATTTGTTGAACGTTCTCTTCGATCGTGCTTAACGATACTTTGTTCACGTTCGTTTCTAATATATCGACGTTGCCAACGTCAATAACTGTTCAAATGTTACAGAAAATGCGGATACAACTATCACATACGGTGGAAACATAAACGCGCCATCAAATTATTCGCAACGCACAGCACGCGAGTTTCGCGATGTTTTCCAAAGATACCGACACGACAAATCGTACGTACACGATTTCAATGTACTCCGAGTACTTGATCGTCTAGAAAGTAACGCTCTACATCGCGACCTTGTTCCTAGGATCTACATAGGCGTCAATCGTATCAAGCATCTATCAACACTAGAATCAAACGTAAGAGCTTTGCTTGAAACTGATAGAGGGAGCTGGCCGCAGTTGTCAACGGCGTACGTGAACAGAAGGTTGGTCAATATGAGGGAAAAGAATACTTGTGAAATGCCAATCATCGAGCAGCACAATATCCATGGTACATACTGGGAAGAACGGTCGCTCCTTACGTTCCTCTTCTTTCCTATCTCGAGCGAAAAAGAGCACAGTGACAGTTCGCTCACGATAATGGCAGATGCGCACGACGGTCTGTCTGTCACGTGGTAAAGGGTAAAAATTATCCGTTTGCACGTGTGCGGCTACTAACGTTCATATGCATACTTTGACACGTGAATCGCGCGTGCGAGTGTACGTGTTGATGAACGTGTGAATGTGTACGTCAGCATGACGCGCACGTGTGTGTGTGTGTGGTGTGTGCAAGCCAACGTGTGTAGGTTGAGGGGGGGGGAGAGAGGTGACTGTGCAAAAACGTCGCAACAAGACGGCGCGTGGACGGTCGCGGCTGAACTGATCGTGGGGGTCGAGCCACAGGTGTCATCAGACGGCGGCTGCTCCACCTCTCTGCCCCCCACCCGATTTCCTCACCCGCCTTCGATCCCCACTCCCGTTCGTTACTTTCACGCACACGTCTACCCGTGCAACCGGAGGAGACGCGTGCGCACACCACCCAGCTTCCTCTATAATCATGCAATATCATTTGCTCTACTCACGGCGCCTACGAACTGGCCGAACCGCGGCACGTGCTTTGCATCCTATCTTTCAAATGATATCGACAACTTTTTCAAATTGCACTGCTATTTGAATCAATAGAAAACCCATTGAGAATTTTGACATGCCGTTTTAACATTCGCCGCGCGTTCACAAATCTACTTAAGCATCGATAATCGATCGAAACATTGCATAATGTGAAAACTAGTAGATACCTATCTACCTACCATTGGTGGAGCCATTGTGAATCGAGTACTCACTTATCGTGCACTGTACGAACGCTTCAGCGAAACAGGATAATTTAAAATATATCTGGAAAATGTGTAAAGATTGTGACGAAAATAGGTGGAAAATTTAGGCGGGAGAAAATGGATGCCGCGTATTATTGAATACGAATGTTCTTAATTCAAATAGATATTTATTCAAAAACCAGTGTATTTCGTGGCAAAACATATAACATCAGTTACTGACGTAATGCTTTTGACGTATTCTCACTCACCCAATCGCACTCATACAAATTCCTCCCTCTCTGTGATTTATACTTTTTACTAGCTATATGTATATATATATATTTTTTTTTTATGTTTGCTTATAGAATATTTAATTTTTTTTTTCTATTTATCCATTATTTTTAATTCATCTCATACTTGAATAGGTAGTGTCACTGAATTTTTTCAAATACAAATACACGCATGTAGTGAGTAGAAGTGAAGCTTTCCGAATAAATTCCAATAGAAATATGTGCCATATATACGAAACATACGCGTGAAATCATTTTGAGACCAATAATTCGATACCAAGTATGACTTTAGTATTAAAATCATCGTAATTTAATATGCTTGGTACCGGATAAATAATCATATAATTTACAATTTATAAATTCATACCAAAATAAAGAAAATGAACAAAGAAATCTATATTATTGAATTTCTTAATCTCTATGAATATCATCTCACTCACACACACACATATATATATATATATTTATATATATAGTAATATATATATTTATATATAT